ATCTATACTTCCTGAAATAAGTTAAGATTTCAAATATTTTTTTATATATATTTATGAAGAAAATTGAAATAAACTTTGATACAAATAAGTAAATAGTCTTATATTATAATTATTTTTGATCTTTAATTTAAATAATTTAAATATGAATTTAAAATATAATAAATTTATTAAGTTCCAATAATAATAAAACAGAAATAATACCAGGTGATAGATTGTAGGCATGTCTTATATAAGTTAGTTTGAGTCTCATCTTTTCAAACAAATATTAGAATAAGTTGTATATTTTGTATTATGTAATTTCATGTAATATAAAAGATATTCTCTTTTTCCAATTAATAAATTTAAGGCAAGGTCTCGCTGAAATAAAAAAAAAATAAAAATAAAACAAAAATAATATTTTTTTATTACAAATAAATAAAATAGGTATCAAAGAATAAACTCAATTTATAGATCAAATAATTAAATTAAATATGACATAAATACTTTAACTTTTTTCTTTCTTCACTAAAATTATTCATATTATAATTGATTTATTATTGTATAAAAAAAACTTTCTATTAATAATTAATTTATTAAATATTAAATAAGATATTCAATATTGTAAAAATAATATTAATAGAAGAATTATGCATAGATATACTTCTGAAATAAAAAAAGTTAAAAAAGTTAATTTTATTTATTTATTTATTAATTTGTTAATAATTAAAAAAATAAATTATTTAATTTTTAATATTTTTTAGAATATATTATTAAAAAACTATTCAGTTATTTTAGAAAGATATATAAAAGTAAAAATATAGAATTATTTGAATAATAACTTTGATAAAAAAAATAAAGTTAAATATATTTTATTTAATTTTTTATAGATGTAAAAACTAAATATTAAAACAAACTGATTATAAAATAATTAAATATATTTTTTATTAAAATAAAATAAACAATTATATAGGATAGTTTAAAAAATATTTTATTTATTAATAAATTATTTGTAATTTTATTTAATAAATTATTTATAAATTTATTTTTTAATTATTATATTAATTATTAATTATTTATTATTATTATTATTATTATTTATTATTATTAATTATTATTTCTTATTATATTAAGTAAATGAATTAAAATAAAAAATATAATATAAGTTCAAAAAAAATATTATTATATTATTATTTTTATTATTAAAATAGAAGGTTTAATTTATTAAAAAAAGTGAAGTAAATAATATTTTCATTTTTCATTATCAATTTTTTTAAGTTCTTCTATATTTTTTTTTTTTCTAATATATTTATTTATTCTTGAAAATAATTTTCAAATTTATTTAAATTATCTTTTGTATTAATAGTTTTTATTTTCTTATCAATTTTTTTAAAGATAATTAAATTTTTATTTTTATTTAAAAAAATTTTTTTATTATCTTTTCTATTGATTTATTCATTCTCATTATTTTCATCAATGAAAATTTGTTCTGTTTTATAACATCTTGATAATTTTATTTTAAATATTATAGTTTATACAGTTATTTCCAGAATTTTTTTTTGAAGTTAATAACTATAAATTATATCTGCTTGTAACTTACTTATCTCAAAAGTTTTAATATCTTATATTAATAATATACAATATTAATTAATAAAAAATTTTTTTCATAGTTAATTGTATTTTTTTTATTAATTATTAAATTTTAATTTTTTAAATTTTTTTATATTTATTACATAATTTATTAAACTTTTTATTTTTTATATTTATTATGTAATTATTATGTAATTATTATTATTATGTAATTATTTTTAATTATTGTATAATTATATATAATTAAATAAACTTTTTTATAATTATTAATTAAATAATAATTATCTAATTAAATTTTTATTAAATACTTTAGGGTACAACTTTCTATTAGTAATTTAAATAAAAAACTAAAGTAAATTGATAGATTTATACTGAAATATGAATTTTACAAAAGACTATAACTATATAATACAGAAGATATAGAATTAGAAAATTAGTACTATACTTATTTAATATAATATTAATATAATTTAATATATTACAATTTTTTATAAGTATTACTAAGTAAAATAATTTGTAAACATAATTTAACATAATTATTTTACTAATTGACATAATTGATATAATTATTTCACTATAAAGTATAATTAGTACCATTCTCTACCTAGAAGTATCTAGCTATTTGTCACAAACACCTTTATAATTAAGTAATATCATTTGAGTTATTTATATTCCTTATTACCTTCTTTCATCAATTAATATGATAAACACTTCAAAAATTTAACTCGACTTCTGATTAATAATCTAAATTATTTTCAAGAGTTTAAAAAAAATTTTATATTATATTATATGTCAAGTATCATATATCAAAAAATTTCACTTACAAATATATGTAGATATATTTACAATTAATAAAAATTAAATATATGTGAATATATTTGATATAACATATGACTTAATGTGAATAAATACAGATTAATATAGATTAATATGATTTATATAGATAAATATGTTGTTAACTGAGATTCACCTTTAAAAGAATTTAATAAACTAATGAATAAAACAGGAAAAATATATATAACTAAAGCTAAAATTATACTGAATATATTATTGTTGAATAAATTATATTATAAAGGAAATATAAATATGAAGGTTTTGTAATTACAGATTTACTTGAAAGAAGCTAAAAGGGTGAAATTTTTATAAAAAGTGTATGTCACTAAAACAATATTTTATTAAGACAAGTTATGAAAACAAAAACTATAACAAATACTAGTCACAAAGATAAGATAATTCATAAAGAATTATAATAAAGTTTTATATAGAATATCACTAAAACTAAGAAATAATTTATACAGTTTATTAATTGTGAATTAAGAAACTAAGAAGAACTAAGAACTAAGAGAAAAGGAATTAGTCCTTTATATATATATTTGAAATTATAATAAATTATATTGTAAATTATATTAATGCATATATTATTAATTATACTAATGTATACATTATCTATTATACTATTTACTATACTATTTATTACACTTTTGATTACACTATTGATTATATTATAAACTACACTGTCAATTATACTAAAAATCTATATATAATAGTTATATCAATTTCTAACTGATTTACATTAACAATTATCACTGGTCGAAAATTGATAAAACATACACATATCGATACCCGATATGTGTATGCTTTATCAATTTTCGACCAGTGTATACTAATATATATTAAATAATATATGTAATACAGATAATAATATATATAATAATAATAAAAATAAAAATAAAAGAATGGAGTTAACAGCATAAGTGGTCAAATATATTTGAATATATTTATTTCCAAAAATTTCCTAATGCAAAATATTAAAATTTTAAAATTTTTATTCAGGTGATACAATACTTTTGATCACTACTATATATATAATAACAATATGATATAATTATAACATAATTGTAATATTGTAATATAATTGTGATATTGTGACATTGTGACATAATTGTAATATTGTGAATTGTCACAGTTAAAATAGATAGTTGTAACTCTTGTTACAATTTATTAATTCTGTCAGGTATTTTAATTTCAAGAATATGTTTGATTATTTTTATTAACACTAGTCAAATACAAAAGAATCACTATACCAAATGGTAATTCCTATACTATAGATCAGCTAAAAATCAGTAACAATTGACTATTATATTGCATTCTATGTTATAAATCAGCTAAAATCAAAATTCCTTTTCAGTATAACATGTCTTTTGTATTTGACCTGTGTAGTGTACTATCATCTTTTTGCTAGTTTTTATTATGAAAATTATACATGTTCCCAAAATTGATTTTGGATTTTTGAGATATTTTGACTTTTTGAGATTTATGCAGAATCTATTCTATATATGGAAGTAAAAAAATATCCAGTTATGTGTATATTCAATCAAAGAATAAATCTGAGTAGTCAAAAAATTTTGAATTTTAAGTAAAATAATTTTGTCTTCTATGAAAAACTATTTTAACTTTTTTTTCCAAAATTGTAATTTTGGGATTACAAAATAATTTTGTGTACAAGTATAATGAAAATATTTCTCATAACTAATCAAAATTATTAAAATTACTTGTAAATTTATTACATTTCACAATTTCACAGAAACTGATTCTGGAATAATTAATTTAGTTGTTTAAAGAAAGATTGATTAATTTTTATAATAAAAAAATTGATTATAATTTTGACTTGTAAAACTGTCTATAATTACTAATAAGCTGCTGGCAATCATTAGAAACTTTATTTTCCTAAGTGTTTCCAACTATTATCTTCAAAGGTATGGTTAAATGGCAATCTCTCTGATGTAAAAATGTAACCAGTTTCTAATGCATTAATCTCTATTCATAATGTTATATATATGAATTAATTCAATAAGGTATAAGGAACTAAAGAAAAAGGGTAAGGAAATAAATAAATGATTTGAAGTAACAAAATATTGGAATTGTTTCACCAGTTATTATAAGTCAAGTCAAAAAGCAAATTTACTTGCCAAGACTTTTTTCCAAATACAAAATGAAATAATTTTGAAAAAATGTATAATATGTTCTCTACTATTGAGAGAAACATGAATAAGTTCTAAAATTGAAATAAAGGAATTAATTTTGGAAGAAAATTATTGCTTTTTTTCTGACCAGTCAGCAACTACTGGTGCTAGTGCTATCGCATAAAATTATCAAGGTATATTACATCAGGAATATTTATAAGACAAAATATTCTGTAATCTGTGATTATAAAAAATTTTCTGGAATATAGATTCTACAGAGATCAGAACCGGGGCTTCTATCCATATTAGGAACACCTTAGTAGAAAATTGCTTCCTGTCCCATATCTGCTTAATTAATGGATTGTGCGTCTAATGCAGAATTTTTCCGTTTTTCCAATTTCCAAATTGGTAACAATGGGAACACCTTGATCATCTGTCAAAAAAAAAATCTTGTGAAGAGTTAATCAAGACATGCTTTCACTACCATTAATTAAGAATTTTAAAACAATTACGCGTCCAATATTAAACTCTTTTGCAGGGAAATTTACTAATAATGCTTCTACGCCTCCATTACCCTCGCCTTTTTTAGCCACCTATAAACGGTATAAACATTCTCACACACAAATTTCCACACCTTTTCATAGTCCACCTTATGCAACTTATTCTCCAGAACTTCCAATATCAAAACCGGAGGAAGGGAACAGAAGTCCAACTGCTGGAAGAACTGTTACAGTGTCTGGAAATCCTACTGCTGGTTACAGGAGATTATGGGCGATTTTGAATTCTAATAAGATTCGTAAAGAGGTTCGTCGAAATAGATATTATGAGAAACCTACTGCCAAAAGAAAGAGAATAAGGTGGGAAATTGCCGAAGTTCGTTTTAAAGAAGCAGTAAGAAAGAAAGTTTGGTTAGTTCTTCAGATGAAAAACAGGTCAGTAGTTCATTGATTTATTATTAAATACTAAAGGAAATAAATTTAATTTTAATAAACTTAATTAATAAATCACATTTATACAGAGGTTTATAAAAAGAAAAATTTAATTATGATTTCTTGGATTTATTATGGTCTAAGGGAAAATTTTAAAAACTGCTAATAAAGTAATTTCGCCTTCAAAAAGTTCACTTATTTATTAAACACAAATTATAAAAAATAAATATAAAAAAATAAAAAACATCTCAAATCAAGAAATCAAGTTAATTATAATTTATCCGCCACGTAATAACCGTTCGGCAACCTTTTCTCTTGCTGTATGATATGCCTGAAGAAGAGATTGCTCTGTGATAGGAATATCTGTTGTATCAGTACGAGGACGAGATACACGAGATACAATCACATTCGAATCGGTCTCCAAAGTAATACTATCAAAAAATGATTTTGATCGTAAATAAATAAATAACCATAAAATAAATAAAAAATAAATATAATAAATGAAAATTTCATAACTTACCCATCATCTATTGTCTCATCTAAAGCGAGGACTACAAGATCTAAATTATCTATTATAGTTCTTTTCTCCACTTGATGCCTATATATAAATTATATCCGAAAGATTTTTCAGAAGAGAATTCGTTATTATAGAAAGTAATAAAAAGTAATAGAAAGTAATAAAAAGTAATAGAAAGTAATAGAAAGTATAAAGAGATAAAATTATAGATCATAAACCTTAGTAAATTAGAAACAGCGTCATAAAATGCACTCAATATGTTGTTTAATAAAAGTTCGTTTTCTTCGGCAGAACCAACGACATAAAAAAAGACGTCAATATTATTTCGATAGAGGACAACATGATTATCGTAAAGAATAATTTCACCTAAATAATTAAAAATATAATTAAAAAAAATATAATTAAAAATATAATTTTAAATATAAAATTAAAAAATAAACATTATCCTTATTATAATGATACAAGAATCATACCGTTGGCTCTTTTGGTTTTTTCAAATAATCCTTTCTCAAATTGCTTTTGTTCTTTAGATGTAAGATAATTATTTCTAGGACCATAATATTTAGCTAGAATTCTATTACCCTCGCTGTCAAGAAGTATTACGGCAGTGGTAGTGTAAAGCGATAAATTCACCTATAATCATTTTAAATCATTCAAATTAAAATTAAAAAGATAAGAAAGATAATTTGATACTGAAAATTTTAGGCGAGAAACTCGAAAAATTAAAGATGCAAACCATATTTTTTTTTATTAAGTAACACAGGTTTAATAATGATGTGATGATTTTTAAATAATTTCCTTTAAAGATAAAATTTCACGAGATAAAGGTTACATGATTGTCTTTGTAAAGTATAAATATAATCCTAATTCTGATTATCTCACATTTTTTTATTCTCTTTTCTTTATTATTTTTCAAAAATGAAAATTATTATTTATCCCCGTTCAACGAAAGTAAAGAAAAATTTTCCAATTACTATAGAAGTTCCTGATGATATTACTACTGATCAACTAAAATCAGAGATACATAAAAGGTTTCCAAAGTATTATCCTGAACGTCAAAGATTAACAAATGGAGACAAACCTCTACAAGAAGACAAAACTTTGAAAGAAAGTGGGTTGAAGGACGGAGACACCATATTTTTTAAAGATTTGGGTAAATAATATATAATAAGTTACGAGAATTTTTATAATAATAATAATTAAATTTTTTACTAAACTTATGAATTATATATTATTATATACCATAATTATTAAAAGGCCCTCAAATAAGTTGGCGATTGGTATATGCAATTGAGTATATTGGTCCACTTATCTTTCATTCTTTATTCTATTATTTTTCCAAACAAATTTATGGAAAAGATTTTGAACACAGTAAAATTCAAAAGTAAATTTAATGTTTAATCATTTTCATTTAATTTTTTTTTTTTTTTTTTTTTTTAAAAAAAATACTTTATTTAAAGTGATTAATCTTTACTTTACACAATTAGAATTGCTTTTTACTTGATCATGGCTCATTTTATTAAACGAGAATTCGAAACGTTTTTTGTTCATCGTTTTTCACATAGCACTATGCCTTTATTATTTATATTTAAAAATTCATTCCATTATCATGTGTTATGTGGTCTTAATTTGGCGTATTGGCTCTATGGTCCTTGGGATGCCTCGGGAACTCCTGCTAGTGAACGCAGTAAATGGTTTGTTTGGACATGTATAGCAGTTTATATGGTAACATAATAATTCGTTTATTGCTTTTTATTACATTTATTTATCATTCAAATTATTGAAATTATTGAAATTATTGAAATTATTATGTAATTACATATTTTAGTATGCAGAAATTGCCAATTTAAATACCCACATCATTCTTCGTAATCTTCGTCCACCAGGAACTAAGATTCGTAAAATCCCATATGGTTATGGTTTTGGATTATTATCATGTCCCAATTATTTCTTTGAACTTATTGCATGGATTAGCATTATTGCTTTAACCAAATCATTGGCTGGTAAATTATTAATTATTAATTATTAACTATTAATTAAAAAAATTATTATTATTTCCAAAAAATTCAAATATTAAACATTAATATTTTATTTTATTTTATTTTTAGCTTGTCTTTTTATAGTTGTTGGGTTCTCTCAAATGTACCTTTGGGCAATTAAAAAACATAAAAATTATAGAAAAGAGTTTAAAAATTATCCTAAGAATCGCAAAGCTATTATTCCATATTTAATTTAATATAATTCTATTTATTCCTTATTTTTTTTTTTTTTTTAATTAATTCTTCCCATATTTAATAATTAATTAATTAATTTGTTCCATATTAATGTCTCAATTATTATTGCCAATTATTGTATTTCCTAATAATTTAAAAGATTTCTGTGATAATTTTGTTCATGAATACATATGCAATTTATTGAGATTAAAATAAAATTACAGTAGTTAGTTACCTTTTTAAATCTTCTGCTTTTTATCTTGAGTCGTTTTCTCAAAGTCATCATCTGTTCCACGCTTAAGACCTTTGATTTTCCTCGTCTGTAATTTACTCAAATCTTGTTTCCCAACATGAATGCGACCTACAACGTCTCCCATTTCATTGACATTAACATTTTTTTCTTTTTTTGGCTACCAAAAATAACAAAAAAAAAAATAAATAATCAATTAATTTAATAAAATTCATTATGATAAAAATGATAGTAGTAGTAGTAGTAGAAGAGGAAGAAATACTTTTAATGTTCTCGGAACTTTAGTAGCTTGTTTATACACTTCCTCTTTTGCAAATTTTGTTCTTTTAAGAACGAAATTGTAAGAAGGACCCATCTCTTCCAATTCAATTCTTGGCGTTTTTTGATCAGATTTCGTCATCTGAACTATATAAACTCTAAAATATATTTTATTATTAGACACAGCTGTGACAGATATCACATGCTCCAATCCCTTTAGATCAATTGATTTTACGGTTTTTCCTCGGTAAACATCCAAAAGCATATTTTTAAAAGTTTTATGAATTTGAGATGATTCAAATAATTCACCATTGAAAATGAAAAGGGGTTTAACATCAATAGAACATTTTCGTGTCTTTATGAATTAATAAAAAAAATAAAATAAAAATATGCATCAAATATATTATTGACTTATTTGAACTCCCTTTCATATTATATTTCAAAAAAATAATTATAATTAAAATTTATTAAAATTAAATTAAAATACCTTGAAATCCTTAATAGGAATTGACTTCTCAATTCCAACTTCAATCATATCCAATACTTGGCCATCAAACATTCTAACGAAAACCAGATTATTTGGTTTCTTTTTCGAATGCGATCCAATAACGAATAAGGAAGCATCATTTTTTTGACAAAAAAATTCTAAGGAAGTTTCGTCTTCAAAAGGTCGAATGTTATTTTTTTTTGAAAATTTTATTGAATAAGGTTTTTTTAAACTACACTAAAAATAAACATTGAGGAATTAAATAAATTAATTTTTTTTTTTATTTAACAAAAAAAAAGAAAAAAAAATTGCAATTGAATAATTCTTACAAGATCTGTCAGTGCTTCATTGACTATTTGATTTGTTTTATTCCCGCGAATAAAAATTGCGGTCTTAACATTTTCTTCAATTTTTGGTTCACGTTTTTGAAGAATTCGTCTTGTCCGAGCATTTTTGGGTGTACTATAAAAAATAAAAATGAAATAATCTAATTAAAAGTAAAATAAAATAAAATTGTGAAAAATTTTTAAATAAATAAAAATACATTTTCAACATTTTCAAGTTCAAACCAAAAAGTCAGACATGTCTAGTGATTCTTATGATTTAATTTTAGAGATCGGCGATCTGCATCTTTCCATATCAGTATAAGACGTCGTGTACAAAAAAAAAAAAATTTTTTTTATAACTGTATTTTATTAAAGCATCATGTACTTTTATTTGGAGTTTATTCCAATGTTTTGATATTAATATATAAAAAATATTTTTATTTTGCAAAGAAAATACGCGCAAAGAAAACCTATGTTAAAGAATGTATTCAGTGACAAAATAAAAAATAAGCATAATATATAAAAAATTAACTATTGTTAACTCTTGGTTAAAAATGTCAGTACAAAATATTTATCAAATAACTACTGGCAATAGCATAGCCAATCACAATTTGATAGATCACGGGGATCTCAAATATACCTGGGTATGGTAGAATGTAATATACCCGGGTATTTGTTTACAAAAATACCGCGGACAAATTTATAAGATTGCGAGATATTGTGAACATATCGACCAATTCTGATGTGATAAGAAAGGCTTTAGATCTTAAGGAAAAAACCAAGGCAAGTGTATATTTTCTTGTGCAGATGCGACGCTGCAACTAGATAGGTTTCTCTATAGGCCGTTGTCACCAACTTTGCGGTTAGTTGGTTTGACTTTCTACGACTACGCGGGTATTCTGTTTGATGGCCCGTTTATTATCTGTTTGATCGTCGTGGACTGCTTGCTTCTAGCAATATGGAGATTTTAATTGCATACATCAGGAAGTCGAACTTCCTGCGACTACGCGGTATTTTGCTTTAGGCTATTCGAACTTCCTGATGGCACTGCGACTACGCGGGTATTCTGCTTGATGACCCGTTTATTTTCTGTTTGATCGTCGTGGCACTTTGTTATTTGATATCATTTTATTTTATCTGTAATTAAAACTAACAAGGCTTTTTACATAGCGACCACGTCGAAAAGGAGGCTCTTGAAATTAAATTAATAAAGAAGAAATTAATGGATTTTAAGGTATGTATGGAAATTTTTGTTGCCATTTTATCTAATAGAGATTACATGCTAAATTATTTTATTACAAAAATAAGTTATGTGGACTACTACAAACAATGCAGGAGAATCAAAATTATGCGAGCACGTTAAATCGTGGTGTGTTGGAGAAGCTAGAGAATATCATTACTTCAAATAAACATAACTTAAAGAGGAAGACTGATTCGTCAACAAGAACTCCACATGTCTCATTCTTAACAAACTCACCACACGGACCGTTCCCGATGAAAAAGAAGATAGTGAGGTATGTATCTTTTAGATCATGCCATAGGTTATCATAGGTTATGCAATATCATTAACTCTTTTCCCTTTTGTTACAGCCTTGCACTAACAATAATACTGGGGTTGAAATAACTTATGTGTGATCTTGAAGTCCAACATTGAGACATTGTCGCAAAAATAAAGCATCATTCATGTGACTAAATCAAGCTAGTCAGCTTGTCGGAATCGCTAGTTGCATGGCTACGTTTTGTTCTTGCTGTGGGGTTTGTAATGCAATTATACTTTGGAATTACGAATTTAAGCTGATAATTGTTTATAGAGTGCTGTAGACGAATTTGATGAAAAGGTCAATATGCCATTGGAGAATGTTAGTGAGTATGAAGATGGCTTGCGTATTGTCTTTTGGAGTACATTAATTAATTTGTAAGTATTCAATAATTGTTATTAATGTGTTTGAAAATGAAAACTGACACGATATAACCATTTGAAGTCATACTATGATTCGCGTCTGAAAGAAAATTTACTCTAGAACGAGTGTCTCCTCCATTCAAGTATATTGAATATATATTTGGGCTGGTAACATTTAAATGGTATGTCTCATCTTTTTGTAGATTGGAGTTTTTCTTTTCTCGTTATATTTATTTTCGAATTTATTAAGGTGGAGGCAAATATGGTAATGACAAAGGCATTGCAATTTGTTGGCTATTGTCAAGGAAAATAATAGAGTTTGCAACAATCGAGTTATGTGGCGGAATAATTGAGCAGAACCATCCTCATCCACTGGGAGATACTGAGAAGGTGTTACTGGAAGGAGGGAAATGCTTCAAGGCACACTACAGAAATATCTTGACGCATCTCGAACAGCTAAAAAATTGAAATTTTATACAATGCAAATAATCGGTATTTTTCAATATCTTGGGAGTTATAAGGATTTATCTACCCATTTTATTTCTTTACAGTTGACCGTATTGTTTTGATCGAAATTTCAATGCATACATCTAGCTTCAAAGCCGTTGAAGTACGAAATGCACGGTGGCCATTTTCGTGGGATTCAGTAGTAGAATGTATGCACGTGTTTGAGCTAATTGCATACTTTACAGTAAGTATCTATAAGTGTCCACAATAATAGTGTTAGCAAAATATTTACGCATGTATTATTTGCTTAGAAAAATCTTCACGGATGATGGTCAGTGAGCAATGCAATATGGTTGAGGTTAAATCTACTACAGTTCGTCAATGGTTAAAAAGTGTACAAGACACCTGATATTTAAACACTATTCAAAATAAGCATGAATTAACTTTATTTACTGTTTCTGGCTATATAGTATCTTTTTAACTATGTATGTGTGTGTGTGATGTGCATTGAAAATAAAGCTATAGATACCTAAAAAAAATAATAAAAATATTAGAAACTTTGTATAAAGTTAATATAATATACAAAATATCGTAATTCTTTTATAATAATCTTTATTTCTGTCAAGTGACTTTAGATCGCGCGTATGACATCATTATATAAAAACCGCTTTTCGTTCAACGCGATTTCTATTTAATCTTTTGAATCTTTTTTTTTTTTTTAAAAAAAAAATGGATAAACAACAAATTGCCTCTCATAACATAATTTCCGAGATTATCAATCTCAAAAAAAAAATTCAGTTCCAGTGAGAATATTGAAATTGTTCAAGAGATTCAAGAGGGTGTTAGGAATAATGAACAAAAAAGCGAACAGTATAAGAATGAATTAAGAGGTAAGAATTTATTTATTTTATTATTATCTAATGGTTATTTTATTATTATTTTTATTATTTATTAATTTTTTTTCAAGTAAATTTCAGCCCTTGGTAGAAAATTAAAAACTTTAAAGAATAGCTCCAACGAGAAAAATATAATTTGAATAAATCCATTGATAGTTTGACTGAAGAAACAAAATATCCTTTCTTTTTTGATCTTTTTTATTCGAACAAATAATTTTATTTTATTTTATTTTTTTTTTTTTATGAAAATTCTTTGACTTGTGAATTATTCGGATTTACTATTCTCGAAGAATCACTTGAAAACTTACAAAAGGAATTGGAAGAATTAGTAAATATCGATATCGAAGATGCTTTTTTACCTCTACTTCGTGAGTTTTTAAATATATTATTATTTTTTTTTTTGTGAAATATCTTATTATGATTTTTCTTACTAAAAAATATTTTAAATTTTTTCAGTCTTCAACTTCATATTTATCGTTCTTTGGGTATTCAATTCATTGAAGATCCCAACACACAAATTGAAAATACGAATTGTAATTTCTCATTTATACTTTTATAATCAAAATCAATTACTTTAATTATTTTTTTCAAACAGAAGCACCAAATGATATTCATACGGTAATAGTATATGATGGCAAATTATTTATGGGAATTAGCTATTATAATAATCAATTATTATTCTTTTCATCAATTTTCAAAAAAATAAATTAAAGGTAAGTTGTCCATTTATAAAAAAAAAGAAAAAGTGATTTTTATTTTTATTTTTTCTTAAAAATAAATAATTAATTAATTAAAAAATAAATCTTAGAAAATTTACAATTCATATTTTAATATATTTTTATTTAATCTTTCCTATTTTTCTTATAAAAGTTGACAAGTCCATTAGTACTGGCATCATGAGATGAGATCTGGGTAACAATTTTATTTTGTAATTCTGGTAAAATCTTTTTAGCAAGAACTTTTCCAAGTTCAACTCCTGTATACCACACACACAAATAACGTAAAAGTTAATAATAAAATTAGTTATAAATTGATTAAAGATTGATAGTTAAAAAGTAAAGTAAATTCTACCTACCCCATTGATCAAAAGAGTTAATATCCCAAATAATTCCTTGTACAAAGATTTTATGTTCATAAAGAGCAATTAAAGATCCAAGAGTACCCGGCGTTAATTTTTGAAACATGATACTATTCGTTGGTCGATTCCCTTGAAAAACTTTATGAGGTGCTATCAAATCCTTATTTGGATCATTACTTAATTCCGCTTCTACGGTTTCAATGCTTTTTCCAATCATCAAAGCTTCAGTTTGCGCGAAAAAATTTGACAAAAGTATCTCATGATGTAAACCATTAGAAATTGGATTATGAGTTTCAATAGGTGCCAAAAAATCAGCTGGGACAATCTTTGTACCCTGATGAATTAATTGATAAAATGCATGTTGTCCATTGGTGCCGGGTTCACCCCAAATTATAGGTCCAGTTTGATAATTAACAATTTGTCCTGATCGGGTGACATATTTTCCATTGGATTCCATATCTCCCTGTATTATTTTATATATTATTTTATATCATTATAATTATTATTATTATTTCATTATAATATTCATTATTATTATTATTTCAAAAAAAAAAGTTAAACCAAAAAAGAACGAGACGAAAACTAACCTGTTGAAAATAGGCAGGAAAACGATGGAGATATTGGTCATATGGTAAAATTGCATGTGTCTGGCATTCAAAGAAATCATTATACCAAACTCCTAAAACAGCCATTATAATTGGCAAATTTTGATCTAATGGAGTATTTTTGAAATGACAATCCATATCATGTGCTCCAGAAAGAAGTTCATGGAAATTATCAAAGCCAATATAAATCGCAATGGAGAGACCGATGGCTTAATAAAAAAGATAAATTTAATTTATATATTTTATATGATTTATAAATTTTTATTTTTTCGTCATTTAACAAATGAACAATATAAATACATACCAGACCATAAAGAATAACGACCTCCGACCCAATCCCAAAATTTAAACATATTTGCAGGATCAATTCCAAATTCAGTGACACTTTTGATATTAGTCGAAAGAGCAACAAAATGCTTTGCAATATGCCTTTCCTAACAAGTACAAATAATAATAATAATAATTATTATTATTATTATAATAATAATTATTATTATTATTATAATTATTATTATTATTATTATTATTAAGATCGTTATTTTATATTGGTAAATTTGCATGACTATCTTATTACATACATACATCTTTTGCACATTCAAGAAACCATTTCTTTGCGGAATTTGCATTGGTAATTGTTTCTTGTGTTGTGAAAGTTTTAGATGCGATGATAAAAATTGTAGTCTCGGGATTTATTTTTTTCAAAACTTCAGCCAAATGGGTGCCATCAATATTTGATATGAAATGTACATTCAATCCTGGTTTAGAATATGGTTTCAATGCTTCGGTAACCATAACGGGACCAAGATCGGAACCACCGATACCGATATTAACGATATCAACAATTGCTTTTCCAGTGTACCCGGTCCATTTTCCATTACGAATAGCATCAGATGTATTTTTCATTTGTTCCAATACTTTATTCACTTCCGGTACAACATTTACACCATTATCATAAATTGGATTATTTGATACATTTCTCAAAGCGATATGTAAAACGGCGCGGTCTTCGGTAAAATTAATATGTTCACCGTTAAACATTTTATCTCTAAATTCTTCCACTCTCGTTTCTTTCGCAAGTTCAATTAAAGTATTAAAAATATCTTTGGTAATAATATTTTTTGAATAATCAAGTAGAATTGAAGAATCCGTACGTTCACCTTTGAATTGACGTGAAAAGGTATCAAAACGGTGTGGGTCTTGTGAAAAGAGATCTTTCATAATAAGGTGCTTTCCCACTTCTTCATAATGTTTTTGAAGGACTTTCCAAGAATTAAGTTCACTTGCCAAAACCATTTTGAATCAATTTAAATTTTATTGATATGTAAAAGTAAAAATATCTGTGGGAGATTATGACGTGATAAAAGATGTATCGGGGATTAAAAATCCCGATACATCAGATGTATGGCACCCAAACAGGACAAATGTCCGGGTTACTAAATTTATTTTACTAAATATTCTAAATATTGTACTCCCGATAATCATATTTAACTCTGATACATTACGTGCTTCACTTTTGATATCTGATATCTGATAGGCCAAAATGTCACAAAGTCGAAAATATCAAAGTTTTGATTTCTATCGAAATGTTTTAAAGAATGCTAAATATATACTTGCACCAATGGTGGATCAATCAGAATACGCTTGGCGAGTTCTATCTCGTCGTTATGGAGCTCAAGTTTGTTATACACCGATGATACATGCAAAAATGTTTTGTGACGAAAACCACAAACAATATCAAAAAGAAGTTTGGTCGACAGACTCGGACGATCGCCCATTAATTGTTCAAGTATGCTTCTATTTAATAAATTATAACTTTATTAAATTCGTGTAAATATCTTTTAATAATGTGAAAATACAAAATATATTCTTTCCTTTCTATTAGTTTTGTGCCAATGATCCAGAAATTTTACTTAAGGCAGCTTTAAAAGTACAGGATCATTGTGACGCTGTCGATTTAAACTTAGGTTGTCCTCAACATATTGCACGGCGTGGTCATTATGGGGCTTTTTTACAGGATGATTGGGACTTGATCTATAAATTAAGTAAGTACCCAATTGTAATCATTATGCTTAACATTAATTATTTTATTATTATTTTTTTTTTTTTTAATTATATTAATTATATTTTATTATATCAAGTAAATACACTTCATGAAAATCTTGATATTCCTGTGACAGCTAAGATTCGTATATTTCCGGAAGTAGAAAAAACGATAAAATATGCAAAAATGATAGAAAATGCGGGTGCACAATTATTGACAGTCCACGGTCGTGTTCGTGATCAGAAAGGACATAAAACTGAATTGGCGGATTGGGAACAAATCCGACGTGTTAAGTACGTATTTATTCTAACAGGGAACATTTTATATATTTAACTTATTTGTTTTTTTCGATCATTATTTTCAGACATCATCACATAAAACGGCTAATAGAAGTATAGAAGTTAAAGGTCAAATTTAATAATTATTTTATTACAAAAAGGGAAGAACTTAAAATACCTGTCATAGCCAATGGAAATATACTTTATTTTGAAGATATTCGAAGATGTATTGAGGTTACTGGCGTTGATGGAGTTATGTCTGCAGAGGGCAATCTTTATAATCCAGCCATTTTTGCAGGGGTTAATCTTCCGGTTTGGCAATTAGCAAATGAATATTTGGAAATTTGCAAAATGATTCCAACTAAAATTGCCTGCATCCGAGCACACCTTTTCAAGATTTATAGACCCGCACTTCCGTATCACGTGGATTTGAGAGAACAATTTTCTCAGGCCAATACCTTTGAAGAATTATGTAAAATATCCGAAGAACTCAAAGGACGTCTAATTGTATGTAAATATATAATATTATTTATTAATATAAAATCATTAAAGATTAATCATAGATTTTATTTGAATATTAGAAAACTTCCTTAGAATATCCAGAAAACACAGTTATTCAAAAAGATGAGACTGGATATAAGATATTTCCTTATTGGATTTGTCAACCTAATATTCGCTTGACAGAAAATGCTAAGAAAAATCAAGAAGAATTAATGAGAAAAGAGAAATTATCTGATGAGAATAATAAATCAACAAATGATGAACCACAAGTTGGTGTGAGCTCTAAATCATCATTGAAAATTGAAGAATTAGAAAAGGAAACAGAATCACATAATGAAACTAATCAAACTCCCATTGATATAAATTTTGGAATTGATTTGATGTTTGAGTATAATTTAGAAAGATCCAACAATAAAGACAGCTGATCTTAAGTATTTTTTTTTAATAAAATTGTGATGTTAAATTATTAAAGTTATTTATTTTCTTTACCAATAATGCATTTTGAATTCTTATTTTTAATTTAAAGTTAATTTTTTTTCATTGTAAAAGTGTTACATCATTAGCATGTGCATTTTCATGTAAATTATATTGTAGAATCTGTAATGCATTTAAAAATTGTTCTGTTCATCAATACAAGGCAAACTTTCTATTTATTGATGAGTGTTCACATAGTATTTATAAGTTAAAAAATATGTAATATGCAAAAAAAATATATGCCTGAATTATGGACAGAATTTTATTAATATTTATATTTGAGGAATACAATGTAATATGTGAGTAATTGCAAATTTACATCATGATAAAGGAACAACCTACATGAACTCAATGAATGAAACACTTACCTTTTTTAAAGAACTTGTATTTTCATTTTTTTACTAAAAAAAAAATAAATGGGGGGTGAGTACAATTATTGTATTTACCTAATTAAAGAAAACATGTATCCTCAATAATTAGTATATATCTTGTACACACATTCATTACTTAAGAATTACAATGAAATTGAGAGAAAAATGTTCACTATAATAGTGGCTATGATGTGCTTTCAATTCTTTCAACTATACTTATTCTGTAAGATACTGAGAAAAGAACATTTACTAATTTAATAGTGGTCATGATGTGCTTTCAATTTTTACAGCAGAATATATACATAATCAGGAACATATAACAAGATAAAGGAACAACCTACATGAACTCAATGAATGAAACACTCACCTTTTTTTTAAAGAACTTGCATTTTCATTTTTTTACTAAAAAAAAATAAATGGAAAGTAAGTACAATTATTGTATTTACCTAATTAAAGAAAGCATGTCCCCTCAATAATTAGTATATATCTTATATACACATTCATTACTTAAGAATTACAATGAAACTGTAAGAAGAATGTTTACTATAATAGTGGTTATAATGTGTTTTCAATTCTCTCAGTTACACTTATTTTGTAAGATACTGAGAAAAGAGCATTTACTAATTTAATAGTGACCATGATGTGTTTCAGAATATATGTATAATTAGAGATATATAACAAGATAAAGAAATGACTCAATGAATAAAACTATACATGTTTCCAAAATTGATTTTTGGAATATTTCATCTTTTTGAGATTTACACATAATCTATTTCTATATATAGAAGTAAAAAAAATATCTAGTTAAATATATCTTTAATCAAAGAATTTATCTGAATAGTTAAGAAATTTCAGGTTTTAAGTAAAATAATTTTGTCTTCTATAAAAAACTATTTTAACTTTTTTCTTCAAAATTATAATTTTGGGATTTCAAAATAATTTTGTATACAAGTATAAATGAAACATTTATCTGTTTTTAAAGAACTTGCATTTTTATTTTTTTACTAAAAAAAATTAAATAAGAGGTAAGTACAATTATTGTATTTACCTAATTAAAGAAAACATGTATCCTCAATAATTAGTATATATCTTGTACACATATTCATTACTTAAGAATTACAATAAAACTAAGAGAAGAATTTTCAATATAATAGTGACCACAATGTACTTTCAACTCTCTTAACTATACTTATTCTGTAAGATACTGAAAAAAAAATATTCACTAATTTAATAGTGGTCATGATGTGCTTTTAATTTTCTCAGTAAAATATATACATAATTAAAGATATATAACAAGATAAAGAAACAATCTACATGAACTCAATGAATAAAACACTCACCTTTTTTTTAAAGAACTTGTATTTTCATTTTTTTATTAAAAAAAGTAAATAGGAAGTAAGTATAATTATTGTATTTACCTAATTAAAGAAAGCATGTATTCTCAATAATTAGTATATATCTTATACATATATTTATTATTTAAGAATTACAATAAAACTGAGAGAAGAATGTTCACTGTAATAGTAACTAAAATGTATTTTCAATTTTCTCAGCTACACTTATTCTATAAAATACTGAGAAAAGAACATTCATTAATTTAATAGTGGTCACAATGTACTTTCAATTTTTCTAGTAGAATATATACAATCAGAATATATAATAAGATAAAGGAACAACTTATATAAACTCAATGAATAAAAACACTCACCTTTTTTAAAGAACTTGTATTTTTATTTTTTTACTAAAAAAATAAATAAATAGAAGGTAAGTATAATTACTGTATTTACCTAATTAAAGAAAACATGCACTCTCAATAATTAGTATATAACTTATACACATATTCATTATTTAAGAATTAAATGAAATTACAAGAAAAACATTGTTATCATGAGTTTCCTCCACTTTAATAATTTTTATTATTTATTATTATTTTATTTCTTATTTGTTATTTATTTTGTTAGTATAATTATTTAGTATATTTTATTTATTAGCATAATACAGATTATGTAAATCAATAATATATATCAGGAAATTTTTTTTAATAAAAACCTTTGAAAATAAATATTAGAATAAGTATTTTGCTGTTTTTCGATATGTTATCTTTTGAAGATTATCAATTTTGATATTTTGACATGACAAAATTTTGTAAATATTATTGTTTTCATAATAAATTCATATTGATAACCTTTGAAGGTTATCGATTTTGATATCTTCATGTACAAAATTTTACAAATATTATTATTTTCATAGTAATTTCGTATCAATAACTTTTATTTATATTAGATATTCATAATATATCATTTTGATGATTATCACTTGCATTTGTATCACTGCAATTTTCAATCAATATTACAGTGTCAACAATATCCTTCAAAGTTTATCACAGTAATTTTAATTAACATTATATTGTTAACAATGTCTTTCGAAGTTTATTACGGTAATTTTAATTGACATTACATTGTCAATGATATCCTTCGAAGTTTATCACAATAATTTTAATTGATATTGTATTGTTAACAATATCCTTCAAAGTTTATCACAACAATTTTAATTGACATTGCACTGTTAATAATATCTTTCAAAGTTTATTATAACGAAATTATATTGTTAACAATATTTTTCAAAATTTATTGTAATAATTAAAGTTAGTATTTATGTTCACTGAACATAATTATATTATTGTTATAATTTTATTAGATATCATATTGATCCAAAGTTTATTAGTATTAATACGTTC